CCTGGCAAGTTGTTTATTCTTGAGATTAATATTTCTCAAGAGTGGACTTTGAATATAGCAAACTACCCTTGATATATTGATGGGCCTCATTTGATCAACTGATGGTCTTAACAAAGACTGACCTCTTCCAAGTAAGAAGGAATTCTCTCAGCAGACTGCCTTTGGACACAAACCTCTCTCTCTAAAGAAAGACCAGAGGGGAAGAGTGAGGGGTGATAAGCTAGAAACAGTGGTGCCAGCAACTTAATGAGACTCTATCTTGAAGAAAGAAAAAGAAAAATTGGGGATGTAGTTCAGTGGTAGATTGCCCCTGGTTTCAATCCTGAGTACCGGGGGAAAAAAAAAGTAAAAAAGGTAAAAGAAAAAGGCTACACTCAAGTCTCCACTGAGGATAGATAAGATTGGACACTGTAATGGGAAGGAATTGAGCTAGAAAAATTTCCTGAAAGTAGCACTAGCGAAGGATGCTAAGGAAGGATATCTTTTAAAAAGGTCTTTGAAAATATGGCATGAATAATTAGCAACATTTGCATTCTGTAATACACTAGTGAATTTACCATAAAAATTTATCTCAGTACACTTTTAGATTGCTGATATTAGAGAACTAGGGAGGGTTACTGTGCAAAATCTCACTTATAAGTCATTAAGAAAAAAACTTATTGGCAAAGTTGATAAAAAAAATTAAGAGTCTAAACCACATGATTTTTAAATCTATGGTATCATAACTTTAAAAGTAATGAAGGATGCACCTCTAAAAACAAGATTTTCTCCATATCTACCTATAAAAAGAAAAATCCAATGCCATCAGATAATGACTTCAAAATTCTGGGCTTACCTTTTTTTTCTCCAGTGTAGGGCACATAGTCTTCCCTGTCCTTTTGCTCCAATGCTTCCTTCTCCAGATATGAAAGGAGGTGTTCTCTATCAAAAGGTCCTGTGGCAGACTTTGACGTCTGATTTTTTTGCCGGAAACCTGCAGGCAGAAGGGCATTCTGCCAAAGAGAATATAATGGCCATTATTACTACTACGAATGCCAATATTAAATGTTTCCATATATTTCCCATATAAAAAAGAATTACAGACTAGAATGTGATGTAGGCGTTAAACTTCACTGCTAGATTTCAAGGCAGTAATATAAAAATGATCCAAATGAAGAACTTGTTTTTTTGAAAATAGACAGTTCATTTACATTACTGATAAAATAGGTACCTACATATTTTCTTCAGAAAGTATTCTACTAGCAGGAAACATCCTTTAGTTTTTAAGTGTCCAGGGATTGTAATAAAAAATAATTTTCTTAATACTTAAAAACTGCTAGGCAGGGGCTGGGGTTGTGGCTCAGTGGTAGAGTGCTCACCTAGCATGTGCAAGGCCCTGGGTTCGATCCTCAGCACTACATAAAAATAAGTAAATAAAATAAATGTATTTAAAAAAAAAAATTTGCTAGGCAATTATGTACCTAAGACTAATTCTATCACAAAAGAATTTTAAATGACTATACATGATATTCCCTCCTAAAGACTTCCATTTAATCACACATACTTTTTCATGATATACATACATATATACACAAACACACACACATATACACATATATATAAATATAGGCTACAAAGAGATTAATATTCACTTGTTTTACATAGACATAATAGGAATGCTTCCACACTATCCACTACATGTTTGTATAGTGCACACATGAGCACTAGGATGGACTTATATTGATTACTGTCACTGCTGCTCAAGGCCCAAGGCATTCTTAAGATAAAACCAGAATTCAGCTTCCTTGGATTTTCATGTGGACATATAGTCTTTTTGAGTGCATGGACTAAGAGTGGGGATTAGGGGAAGAAGGATGATGGATTCAACTTAAGTTGTCTAAGGCAGTCCCTACTCTATAAATTTTCATGAAGCGACGAATAACACAGGGTGACAAGATAACGAGAGCATCATCTTTTTATTTATCAAAATCCAGAGATGAGAATGCCTTAAATCCTATTTCTGGTATTCTTTTCCTCGACAAATGAAAGTCAGTCAGAGAAGTCACACCTCTTTTGTAACACCTCCCAATATTGGCAATGATGCTGAATCTCATAGTGCTATAAGTCAACTTTTCATTATAAAACTTGCTCTTACAGCTGTGCACAGTGGTGCAGGCCTGCATTCCCAGAGAACTGGAAGGCTGAGGCAGGAGGATCCCAGGTTCAAGGCTGGTCTCAGCAACTTAGCGAGATCTTGTCTCAAAATTAAAAAATAAAAAGACCTGGGTGTGGGGAGCCACATTGAGTTACCATGCCTTCTAGTCCTGATGCACCCTGGGGATGTGAAAGATCACTGTAGTCTGGTGCAGTTGTGCCATGACTCGTGACTCGGTCCCTACCCCTCTTCCCGCTTGGATAGCAAGGCCAGGATTCTGAGTAGGCATACCCCTGGGGTTGAGCGTCACTCATCTCTTCTTTTGTAATCTTACCCCATTTGCCCTGTTTGGGATAGAATGTTCCATGAAACGCCCTTTGTGTGTCCCCCTTCTCTTGTTCTTGTTGGGTGTGGCCTTCCTAGATGTCAGTCAATCTGCTGATAGCAGACATCATGAAGCTAGACTCAACCCCCACCCCCAACCTGACCCCTTGCCTCCTTTGAATGGCTTCTCCCCAATAAAAAGGTTCAGCATGATCTCTCTCTCTCTCTCTCTCTCTCTCTCTCTCTCTCTCTTTCTTTTTCCACGGACCCCTAAGGTCAGAGGAGCTGTCACAGGACCCAGAGAAAAAGGTATCTCTGCCTCTTGTATGATTATTTCATGCAGCCCAGTTCACCTGGAGTGACCTTGAGTATTTTAGTCGTGAAACTTGAACTGTAGCTCAGTGATAAAGTGCCTACAGGTTCAATCCCTATTACCAAAAAAGTAAAAAAAAAAAAAAAAGGTAATCTTACATAAGTAATGATAGTAGAAAATGCTCACAACTCTGCATTTATACCTAATTACACTTCAACTCTGGCCATTTGCTGGGATCAATAATAATTTTCGTAAAATTCAATTTGGTGTTCCCCTTAATGTAATGGTTCTTATTACATAGAAGGCTGACCTATAAAGATAAACCACAAAGGAGGCCTGTTCCTGTGTTGTCTATGGGACTATATAAAAGAAAAACAAGATTTCTACCTTTAGACTTTGAAATCAAGATAACAATGTTATATGAAGAATCCATTCCTAGTCTATCTTTAAATCCTATACATATTTACTTTGTAAAGAACTCAATCATCATTTTCCCATTTGTAACATCATTACTTTGATCCAAACTATGATCCAAGCTTGCCTGGAATGTTACATTAGCATTCCAACTGATCTTCCTGGATCAGGTGCCCAATCCTCCTCATTCCTCACTCTTACTCCCTAATCTGTGACCCTAACCTCTTCTCATATATCCTCTCTATTCTATTCAGACTAGACTTTTTTTTTCTCTCCCTGTACCTGTGATATCCTTCTATCACAAGGCCTTTATGTGTACCTGAAAGACTATCTTTTTTTCTTCTCATTTTTAAGACTGCAGTTCCATGACCCCAAGGGAAGCTTTTTCTACCCGTGATTGTAACTCACAGTTCCTAGTGTTCATCATTATTCTAACATGGTATGATTATTTGATTAAAATCTAATTCCTACACAATGAGCACTCTTGTATATCTGAGTCTAGTATACTATATGTATACTAGATCTACCTCAAACATTTAATGAGTAAAGATTTTAGAATACTTTTAAAGAAAAATGCTCACTGAGGCAAATTAATAAAGAAGTTATTTTCTTCCCACATCAAAAAGCATTTGTATTGCTATTTTATGATGGTAGTAGTAATGGAGTTGCATTATGCCACCTGGCTGCTCAAGCTCCTATGAAACATATAGTTTTAAAATATGTTAGCCAAAATCCTGGTTCCTTAAATAGTCTTTGACCACAAAGTAAATGGCAGCTCACTGGTTTCAGAGGCTATAAACCCACACACTAAGCTTCATTAGAAGTATATTCTAATCAAGAATCCACCCCTCTCTCAATGCTGGGGATCAAACTCAGGGCCTTGTGTATGATAGGCAAATGCTCTACCACTGAGCCACACTAGCAGTCCATTGTAGAGTAATATTGTTGTAGCAATATATTCCCAGCCTTGGAAACAAATAAAACAGCTTTAACTTATACTGGCTGTCTTTTGGAAATAGATGTTTTATGAAAATGTAGTGAGTTATCAAGTAAATACACCTAAGTGCAGCATAAATACAATAAAATAGCCCTTTAAAATATAACAAGATGCCATTCATACCTTCCTATGCTCTCATCCTACCATTTGAGACTTGGTAAGTTACAGTCTCTAGTAGAGGCAGCTGCAATTACCCTTGCCCTCTTTTCCTACCTGATACTTTACTTGAACTCTCAAAAAACATTACAGGCCAAGTGGCATGCTGTCAATAAACATCACTGTTTTCCTGGTTTGACTAATAGTATCTGAGGATGAAGGAATTTCAAATGGGGTTGGGAAATGTACAAAATACATTCAGAGATTAGAGCTCAACCTCCCCATACAAGAAGTAGGCCAAGGATTTGCAAATAAGAAAATGTAAGTGATCAGATTTTAGACGCATACCACAGTATATGAGTTCAAGAGGAGACTCACTATGGTTTAACAGAAAGACTGCCAGATCCCAGATGTCAAGCAGGCAGTGAAGGATCTAATCTCAGTTCTTTCCTCAACTATAATACTAAGGCAAGTCACCTCTTTTGTTTCACATCTGTAAAACAGAGGGCAGGGACTAGAGTGTTTTTCAACCAGGGGCTTTTTGTTTCCCAGAGGATAGATACCTGGTAATGTATGAGAACATTTTTGCTTGTTAAACTGGGGGTTGGAGTATTTTTTTTTTACTTTCTATATTTTATGATGCTTTGACATCTTAGGGACCTTACAAATCCTGAAGAGATGGCCCCTTCCAGTGCTAGCTAATTCCTAGAGATAGCATTAACCCTACTTTCCACCCAAACCTACCAATTGCATAACTTTCATATGCAAACCAGTCAATCCAGGTCTCCGGATCCCAATAATCTTAGTTATCTAACTCTTACACTTCATGCCAATATTTCCCCTACTCTAATAACCTAAGGCAAGGTACGAGGCAACTAAGTACTAATTCTATAGACTGGAGCCTGTGGTCTCATTCATTTATTCATTCCCTCAGAAACTGCAATAAAGGCTCTAGACCATGGTTGCTCCTTTTCCCTTCTTTCTGACCAAATAAAGTGCTTTCTCATGTGTCCCTGCCTGGACTGCTTCCAGCTCCTGGGCCATGCATAATAAATTCTTTTTTTCAAGGCAGTTGTTTCTGTGTCTGTCATTTTACCACACCTGATTAAAACGATACCTCAGGTACAGTTCAAAATGGTGGGGAGGTGGGGTGGTGTGCTATTGGCATGTACTGAGCCAGGGATGAGGTTAAATACTCTGTGAGTCCCTCACAACAACAACAAAAAAATCATACAGTCCCAACGTCAATAGTGTCAAGGTTAAAAAAAACAAAAACTTGATTACAATGCCGAGCATGGTGGCACACAACTGTGATAATCCCAATAAATCAGGAGGCTGAGGCAGGAGGATCCTAAATTTAAGGCCAGCCTCAGCAACTTAAGCATCCCTAGGTTCAATCCCCATTACCAAAAACAAAAACAACCTAGACTACATAAACTTGTGTGTTCATTCCAGTTCTAAAATCATTTGATTTAAAGAGGGTTAACAGGTTGAACTGCCTATAGAATGTAGTGCTGAGACATGATAGAAACAGCACTATTTTTCTGAATAATCCCTCAGACTTAGGCATACTGATAATTTTTCCTTATAACACTGATTTTGGTCAAGAGAATTTGATCTTTGGAAGTGTGGCTCAATGGTACAGTGCATGCTTAGCATACTCTGGGTCCTAAGTTCAAGCCCCCCCCCCACCCCCAAATAAAACAAAACCAAAACTCTACCTCAATTTGTTTTGTTTTGGTACTAGGGATTAAACCCAGGGATAAAACCACTGAACTATATCCCCAGACCTTTTTATTTTTTATTTTGAGACAGATAAGGTCTTCCTAAATTGCTTAGAGCCTTGCTAAATTGCTGAGGCTGGCTTTGAACTTGTAATCCTTCTCTCTCAGCCTCCCAAATTGCTGGGGTTACAGGCATATGCCATAGTACCTGGCTTACCTCAATTCTTAAAGGGCACTTAAAAAATCAATGCCTGGGCATAAAAAAAGTGGTAAATTCTAACAAATATCCAATATTTTTAGGTTCTCTCCTGTTGCCTGTCCTTCCATAAATGAACAATTCAAGGATTAAGAGTCTCTACTTTGCCTTGTGCAATTTGTAAAACAAATAACATTTACTTTGAAAATGGTTCAATTGTAAGATGGTGCAGAAAGTGAACTCAATACAATCATTCAGGTTTTCACTTTCAGTATAGTATTCAATAAATTATATGAGACAGTCAACATTTTTAAAAACAGGCTCTGTATTATATAATTTTGTTCAACTATAGACTAACTGAAGTGTTCTGAGAATTTTTAAGGTAGGCTAGGCAAAGTTAAGATGTTTAAGAAGTTAGGTGTATTAAAGGCATTTTGACATAATATTTACAATTTAAGATGGGTTTGTAGGGATGCAATGCCATAAAGTCAAATAGCACTCAGGTTTAGATCTGCTCCACAGTCAACTGTTGTACTGCTTTTGAGAGGCTCCTCAGATCTATTCTACCAATGACTAGAAACACCCTTTGTGGGAGGCCAACCTTATGGGTGACTGAGTTACACTCCCCAGCTGGGTGCTGAGGCGCTCAGTCACAGAAATGGGTGTGTCTTGCTACAGCCCCATGGGTGAAGCTATGCTCACCTGTTCCTTTGTAATATAACCCCTTGCCCTGTTTAGGATAGAATCTTCCATGGAAGTGCCTTGTGTGTGTCCCCTCCTCTTACTGTGCCCTTGGGTGTGGCCTACCCAGGTGTCAGTCAACCTGCTGACAGTGGACATAATGAAGATAGACTCAGCCCCCTGAAACCTGACCCCTTGCCTCATTTGAATAGCTTCTCCTCAATAAAAGGGGTCAGCGCGTGCTCTCGCTCTCTCTCCTTCTGCGGACCCTTAAGGTCAGAGAAGCCGTCACAGCAACCCCAAAGAAAAAGGTATTTGTGTCTCTTGTGTGGTTATTTCGTGCAGCCCAGTTAGCCCAGTTTAACTAGAGTGACCCCTGAGCCTTTTAGTCGTGAGAACAGAAACCCGGCAACCCTTTGTCAGCATCTCTCAGCAAGGTAACAATTAGGTTTAAGGTCATGAAGAACTTTCTAGAGGCACTGTACACTGGAGCCATACTATTCTAGAGTCTCTGAAGAGACAGAAGAGATCAGTATATAAAAAAGCTAATCATTTGCTATACTTAACCAAAAATATTCTTCCCTGCATAGAAAGAAAAGATTTGTTAGAGGAGAAACAAATTCAGGAGATGTTCAAACACAACAATGATAGAGATGATAGTTTAGAATAGTCATGTCATAAAGATATAGAGGCATAAGTGGGAGAACTGGAGAGGAAGCAAAAAGCAAGTTCATCTGGATAAAGAAGAAGAAGAAAGCTCCAAGAGAAAGGCATGAGAAAGCAAACTGCTAAAGACAGCTACTTTGTTTCAAAGGGGTTGAAGAGTTATTTCATTTCTTTTCCTCTGCTAAAACCTACCTCAGGGTCAAGATCATCCAGAACAGTTTCTAGTTGTTTCAGTTCTATTTCTGACAGATTTTCAAGAAGCTCATCTTCATCCAGGTCCTTGTATTTTTCTAAGTCCTTGCGGAATGGTAGTGCCATGATCTGCAGTGTAAGAACTCACTTGCTATTCAGTATAGTCAGAAGTGATTTCTACTTTTCCTTAAAGCTATGGAGAGAAGAAACAAAAACATTTTAAATATTATGTCATCTCACCTGTTTACATCTATTATTATGACAAGTAAAATGCTATTTCTGTGTGTCTTATATTATTTAATCATGTATCACATGCTACTCTTAGCTATAACCATTTGTCTTTTGTTGGCAAAATAATCAACTGGGAAAAAAAAGGAGGGAATAAATATGTTAAAACAGTTATTTGGGGCCTGGGGTTGTGGCTCAGTGGTAGAGAATTTACCTAGCATGTGTGAGGCACTGGGTTCAATTCTTAGCACCACATATAAATAAAATAAAGGTAATGCCCATCTTAAACTAAAAAAATATATAACAGCAACAGCTACTTGATAGATTTTAGATAACTGATAATTAGATAATTTTAGATAATTTTCTGATACACTCTACTTCCTCTCTTGCTTTTATGGATAAATTGCCAGACTCTTCTCTAAGGTCAACCATGCCTTCCTGTGATCAGAACCCATCCTTGTTCATTTATACAAGATTACTCTATTGTGCTCTGTCTCTACTGGATCATGCCCATTAGCATAGAGACTATAATGTATCACCCAAATTAAAAACAAGTTTTCCCTCAACTTCACATTCCTTTCCAAACACTGCTCTGTGTCTTGGCCCCCCCTTTAGAGCAAAGCCCCTTTCAAGAATCACTATATTTAGTACTTCAAGTCCTTATTCTTACAAATCTTTTCCAATCTAGCTTTCATTCCTAACCATCAATCCATTCAAACTGACCTCATCAGCAATGACCTGCATTGTGCCAAATCCAACTGTCAATTCTTAGTCCTCATCTCATGAGAGCTATCAGAAGCCACACTTGATAATAAAACAATTTCCTCATTTGGTTTGGGGACAGTATTTTTGGTCCTCCATTATTTCCTTGGCTGCTCCATTTCATTATGTTCTGCTAGTTCCTCTTCACCCTCCTCATTTTTAAATGTTAGAAAGCCTCCAGGACTTAGTTTCTTGGTTCTCTTTCTAGACTCACTCCTTGTGATTTCATATAGTGACAACTCTCAAATTTATATCTCCAATTTGGACCCTTTTCCTCCACACTTAAAAATAACTTACCTAGGGCTGGGGTTGTGGCTCCGTGATAGAGCACTTGCCTAGAATGTATGAGGCACTGGGTTCAATCCTCAGCACCACATAATAAATGAATAAAATAAAGGTCCGTCAACATCTAAAAAAATATTAAAAAAAAAACTTACCTAGTCAGACATAATGGCACACCCAGTAATTTTTTTTTTAATATTTATTTTTAGTTTTCAGCGGACACAACATCTTTGTTTTATGTGGTGCTGAGGATCGAACCCGGGCCGCATGCATGCCAGGCAAGCGCGCTACCATTTGAGCCACATCCCCAGCCCAACCCCAGTAATTTGTGAGGCTAAGGCAGGTTGATAATGAAGGCACACTTCATTTAATTGTATCATCTGCATAGGTTCATGTCAGAAGTTTCCACACATTAGAGATACTTCATGTTGCCCTTCCTCTCTAACCCTAGTTCAAAACTCAAAAGAATGACAATTCTAAGTACTGGCAAAGACACGGAGCAACTGGAACTCTCATAAAGTTGCCAATGGAGAACAAACTGAATCAACAATTAAAAACTATTTTAGCAGTATCTGCAAAAACTAAACAAAAACATACTATAATGACACAGAAATTTCATTCCTAGTTGGATACCCAAGAGAAATGGCTACTCATGTTCATAAAAATTATGTACAAAAATCTTTATAGAAGCTTTATTCATAATATGCCTAAACTGGAAATGACCAAATGTCCATCAACAGTTTACACAAATCAATTTATGTAATGGACTATTACATAGTTATAAAAGGCAAGTAATGATATATACAAAAAGAATGAAATCTCATATGCATTGAGAGAAATTTTTTAAAAATTAGAAAATAATACATACTACATACTTTCATTATATGAAATTCAAGAATAGGCATAACTAATCCATAGGGATGAAAATCATAATAGGGGATAATGATTAGGTAGGGTCATCAGAGAACATTCTGGGATGATGAAACTATGTTATATTCTTGAATTGGGAAGCAGTTATATAGGTACATACAGATACAGAAAATTCATTAAACTGTACATTTAAGACTTTCTCTTTTTACTTTTAAATTATATGTCAAAATACTTAAAATATATGTTTGTTTTATATGATTATATATATTTTATGTTAAAAATTAAGTTTCCACAAACTTGGAAAAAACTGCTTTTTCTGCAGCCATGATAGTAAGTAGTCATCAAAAAAAAAAAAAGATCAACAATTTGCCTTTACAAGATCATCAGTCATTATTAATGGCTCACTTCTAAAAGTCAGTCAGGAATAGAGTAACTCCAGTAAACACTCCTTGAGTTCCAGCTAACCAATCATGATCATGCTTTTTCAGACGTCATCCCATGATGGCCTCTGAACTTTCCCCAATCCTTGAGTTCCACACTTCCCCCAAATCCTACTTTAAAAAAAAAACAAAACCCAAACAAACAAATGGTCTCTTCTGCCCGGTCAGAACAGTTTTCCCTTAAGGGTAAACACTAAATTTAGCTTTGCTTTTTTATTTCAGATATTGACTGGGGGGTCTCATCAACTTTTCATGCTGAAGAAAACTTTTAGTGATTACATTTGTTTGTTTTTAAATAAAAGTGTTTCATTTTGTTGTTTGTGGGATGGAACCCAGGGGTGCTCTACCACTGAGCTACATACCCAGCACTTTTTTTCTTTTGAGACAGGGTCTAAGTTGCCCAGGGTACCCTCAAATTTGTGATCCTCCTCGTCTCAGCCTCCCAAATTGCTAGTATTACAGGGGTATATCATCAAGTCTGGAAGAAGGGCTTCACTGTTGATAGATACTAAATAGTGGTTAAGATCAAAATATTCCTTCTGGACAATATCCATGTAATTTTTTGGAACTGAATTTGGTTCACTATTCAATAATTTCATAAATATTGCTTCAATTTATTTTGGTAAATATTTTTCAAATAGGGGGCTAGGGTTGTAGCTCAGAGCCTGGAATGCTTACCTAGCATGTATGAGACACTGGGTTTGGTCCTCAGCACCACATAAAAATCAATAAAATAAAGTTATAGTTGTCCATCTAAAACTAAAAAAAACATTTAAAAATTTTTTTCCAAATAAATATTCCTTTTCCTTTTTTGTTAAAATAAATTATCTCCGCCTGGGATTTTAACATTTAAAATGTCTAAATGTTTTCTTATTTAACATTAGGCTTGAGTTTCATCTTTGCTGTTCTGAGGAACATTCACATTGATGAAAAAGACTTAAGTAAAGAAAGACTTCCATTTATTCCTGGGATTGCTACACCACAGGTTGAATAAAAGTATCTGTCAGCATAGTGTGGTGAATTCCTCAATTGAAAAGGAGTATTCAGAGTCTCATAAGATCTCCCTGGGCATCTCACAGTGTCTGGTACCACAGCAAACCTTGACTCTAAATGAATGTTTCGCCTCTGTGCCCATAGGTATTGGTACTGAAGCAAGCTGTACAGGTGGAAGAAAAAATACAGTCAAAGAATAGAAAAAGTCTCATAGGTTATTTCCTCTTTACCAGTTTATGATTCTAAACACTGATTATAACCAAAAAATTTATTCAGTGTCTTCTTAGGGCTGCTATAGCCAAATTTTATAAACTAGGTAGTTTATAAACAATAGTTCTTACAATTCTGAAGCTGGGGAAGTCCAAGATCAAAAACCAGGAGATTCAGAGTCTGGTGAGGGTCCACTTTCTGATTCACAGAGGGTGGTTTCCAGCTGTGTCCTTGTGAGGCAGAAGAGGCAAGGCAGTGCCCTGGAACCTCTTTTATAAGGGCCCTAATTCCATTCATAAGGGCTCTGCCCTCATTTCCAAATCACCTTCTATAGGCCCCACTTCCTTAATACCATCACATTGGTGATTATGTTTTCAACAATGAATTTGGGGGAAGAGACACAAACATTCATACCACATTGTCACTGTGCATATAGTATTTACCTTCTAAAAAAGGAAACTCATTTTATTTTAGCTGTTTGTATTATATATTACTTTTATGGTAGGTAAGATTTTTTTATATAAATACATAAAAAATAAACTAGATGCTATATCTATCAATTTATGTACAATAAAACCTAAAAGACAGTGCTTTAAATGTCTTTCATGGTGTTTTTGAGATGCAATGGTACACCCAGATGTAGGCACATCTGATATAGTTGCTTTGCACACAGAAGCTTGTAAAAATGGTGGCTGATTATTATGCATAAAAGCTATACAGAAACTAACCAACTCAAGTATGAGATTAGAGTAGCCTTTGTTACTGACGCCATCTTGAATTTTTATTTTGTTTATTTATTTTTGGTATGGGGACTGAACTGAGCCACATCTCCAGATTTTTTTTTTTTTTTAATTTCAAGACAGGGTCTCTCTAAGTTGCTTATGGCCTCACTAAGTTGCTGAGACTTGCTTTGACCTTGTGATCCTCCTGTCTCAGCTTCCAGAGGCACTGGGATAACAGATGTGCACTACCATGCTCATCTTATTTATTTACTTTTGATTTTTTGAGACAGAATATTTCTAAGTTGCTAAGGATCTTGTAAATTGCTGAGACTGGCCTCCTGATGCAGCCTCCCATGTCACTGGGATTGCAGGCATGCATCACTGCACCTGACTGCCATCTTCAGCTTTTTTAAAATGAGATCTGTAGATCCCAAAAGACAAAGGAAAGAAAATTAAGTCTGAAGTCTAACGGCAGAAAAACTTGTTAAGGCCAGAACAAAGAAAGGAATTTAATTAGAGCAGGATAGGGAGGGCAATCTTAAGGAAGAAAGCAGTCAAATCATTTCTGTGACTATTACAAGAAAATATTTAACAGGTTGCTCACGCCACTTCAGAAACTATCTTTCAGTGAGACCCTACTGAGAGAGTCTTGGTTCCCATGCGAGTAACCCACTTTCTTTTCTGGC